CTGTTTGCAGACGATTAAAAGTACACGCAATACTTTTCTGCATCAACCGTATGCATTTCAGCTTCTTCAAATATGCATTGAGTCATCATATAGCCGAATCAGAGTCCGTTACCTTACTGTTATGCAACGTTTCATACGTGTCAGTCACGTTCCTTCCCGTAAAACAGCTTTAAATCCACCGGAGAAATATCATCCACTATTTATAATCCACGATCGCGAGTCATTTCAGATCACTCAAAGACGATAGTTTAGAGATGAATCTCCGTCCGTCATAACGTGCCACGTGCGCTCCTTCATTTTCATATCCATAGAGCAAGTTTTTTGACTAAATTGTTTGTGCCATCGATCCGTCTCTTCTTGTCTTGTTTCTCTGAATTAGCAGGATTTGAACGCGGGTAACATAAGACAGTCCAGTGATGTCATTTCGAACATGTTTAATAACAACTTTACTGAACTTTAATACACGGTCAAAAAACTGTCTTGCTTCCATCTTCATGACACTACTTCTTCCTTACCGGAAGTGACATCAGCATATACTCTATATTAAAAATTAAATTACTTTTAGTAAAATATTTTCAAGTTGCTTTTTACATTATTATCAATTTAACATAAATAAAACAATGAACTTATGGCTCTTATATGAACAGTGCACAGGGGTTAACGAAGAATTTTTAAAGCAACCAGCAAGTCAGTATGAATGGAAGTCTGCGAGTGCATGGAAGTGAACTGAGCTCATGATCCACACTAAATAAAATAATCAAAACAACAGGCAGAAGGGGCCGGCTAATCGAATTCCCTTCCCACGGAGATTGGGAAGGAACATAATGGGTCTCAGGTGAGATGACCCACCCACAAATCAGGACCCATGCTGGCTCTGCAAATCACAAAACAGAACCAAAACAACCATGTCCAGGTCCTAATCTAGTTTAGTTTAAACTATTGTGCAAAATAAATGTATTTTATCTTGTTACTTTTTAACTTTTTTGTGTGATTTGTAAATACTCTTAGAGTCATTCTGCATAAATATGGAGACTTTTTTAGAGAAATTTCTGTGCAGAAACATACAGCTATGTCTAGCAGAGTCTGAATGTAAGAGGATACTGGATTGGCCGCAGAACCCGTGAATGATGTAGAGCAGCCAATCAGGATGCACGATTTCCTTGACCTTCTCCAGCAGGCGGAGGTTCCAGACGTATTTAGAGTAGGGCTCGTGACTCAGACCGTGGACAACTGAAACACACACATACACATTTAAACATGTATGCAGACATGCACGCACAGAGACAGAAATATATAAACACGCACAAACATAAACAAGAATGCATGTACACACACACACACACACACACACACAAGAATGCATGCACACACGCATGCGCACGTGGAAACGTAAACATGTACGCACACATGCACACATACACGTAAACAAGAGCACACATACACGTACACACAAGCATGTATGCACACACACGCACACATATATGCATGCATACACGCACACACGCACACACAGACATCCACATACGGAAATGTAAACACACACAAATGTAAACATGCACACGCAAACACGCACACAGGCACACGCAAAAATATCCGTTTGTGGACACAAACATGCACATACACAAATGCACAAATAAAACACACACATTCTATTAAATGTAAACAATGTTTATTTGAAAATGCATTAAATTTTAATTGAATTAAGAAAAAGTCAAATATAAACACCGTTTAAAATAAGTATTTTATTATTTATATTATTATTATTATTATTATTATTATTATTTTATCTTTTTTATTACTATTATTTTATTAGTAGTAGTAGTAGTAGTAGTAGTAGTATTTTATTAGTAGTAGTAGTAGTATTTATTAAGTAGTAGTATTTATTCTTATTATTCTTATTATTTTATTATAATTATTAGTAGTAGTAGTATTTTATTATTATTAGTAGTAGTATTTATTATTATTAGTAGTAGTAATAGTATTTTTTATCATTTGTTTTACTATTATTATTTATTTATTATTATCATTCTTATTTTTATTACTATTATTTCATTATTATTGTTCATATTATTATTATTAGTAGTAGTAGTAGTAGTAGTAGTTTATTATTATAAGTAGTAGTATTAGAATTATTTTTATTATTATTATTATATATTTATTATTATTATTATTAGTAGTAGTAGTAGTATTTTATTATTATTAGTAGTAGTATTTATTATTATTAGTAGTAGTAATAGTATTTTTTATCATTTGTATTACTATTATTATTTATTTATTATTATCATTATTATTTTTATTACTATTATTTCATTATTATTGTTCATATTATTATTATTATTAGTAGTAGTAGTAGTAGTAGTCGTAGTAGTAGTAGTAGTAGTTTATTATTATAAGTAGTAGTATTAGAATTATTTTTATTATTATTATTATATATTTATTATTATTATTAGTAGTAGTAGTAGTAGTATTTTATTATTAGTAGTAGTAGTATTTATTATTATTAGTAGTAGTAATAGTATTTTTTATCATTTGTATTACTATTATTATTTATTTATTATTATCATTATTATTTTTATTACTATTATTTCATTATTATTGTTCATATTATTATTATTAGTAGTAGTAGTAGTAGTCGTAGTAGTAGTAGTTTATTATTATAAGTAGTAGTATTAGAATTATTTTTATTATTATTATTATACATTTATTATTATTAGTAGTAGTAGTAGTAGTAGTATTTTATTATTAGTAGTAGTATTAGAAGTATCTTTATATAATTATTATTACTAATTTATTATTATTATTATTATTTTATAATTTTATTATTAATAATAATTTTATTAATATTTTAATATTAATTTGTTATTATTATTTCATTATTATTATTTTAAAGAGATCAAATGAATGAATATAGCGGGAATGTTGTGATTGCCTTGAGTGGGCAGTCCCTCCTCCTCGAAGATGTCAAAAGTGTCCTGCCGACCGGCGGCGCCGCTCTCAGACTCCACACACACACTCCAACTCTGCAGCAGCGTCAGGTTATACTGCAGCGAGTGGCTCACGTCATAACTGTAGCTGAACACCACAGGTCAAAGGTCACACAGGGATCACACACACACACACACACACACACACAATCTGAGAGACACACAAAAACACATACAGACACACAAACAAAAAGACACTCAGACATGCATGGTATAAAACAAACAAACAAACAAACACTCTCTCACTCTCTCTCTCTCTCTCTCTTCAATTCAATAATTGCTTTATTGTCATGACAAATGTTAAAAATGTATTGCCAAAGCAGTTATAAAGTTTACATTAAAAGTAACATACATATATAATAAAAAGAAAACAGTACACACAGTAAATAGTAGTATAAAAAAGAGGTGATATTTATATATAATAATTAAATAAAATTTTAACAATACATCATATTATTCAATATATCACATTAATATTCAATATATTAACTCTCTCTTTCTCTCTCTCACTCATTACATTGCAGCAGAGTGAGTGTTGCCAGGTGATAATGGCATGTTGTTACTCAGACATAAAGATGAACACACTGAATGTTCAGAGAGACACACACACACACAAAACTTCATCTGAGAACATTGAAGTAGACACACAAACACACCCAACACCTGACACACATAAACTGCCTGACAGTAGTCTTGTGGCCTATCCAAGTTTTAGGAGCAGCAAATAATAACTGGACTTCTAGTTGGTGATTTGGTGTCAGAAGTGTCTCATATGAAAGGTAAAGGCCTCTAGATTTTGCTGATTTGAGCTCAATAAAATCTGATCATGTCTTGATGTTGACTGATTTGATGAGGACAGTGCGGTCTGACTCTGCTCAGACTAAAGTCTCATCACTGAACAGAAATAATGTCCAGTATAGAATATAAAGTCCTGCTGCAGTGGAGACAGAATGAATATTGTGTCTGACTCCATCATGAGCTTGGAGGACTGCATCCATACATCTCTGACATGACTCAAATCACTGATTAATAAAGTCATCTGGAATGAAGAAGAAAGCGTTCAGCAGGATCCCAGAGATCATCAAGAGTCTTTGTGTTCATTTTCATCACCTCCTCCTTCATCAGCTCAATAATGGTCATGTCTGGTGACTGGGCCGGCCAATCCTGGAGCACTCTCTGCTTTCAGGAGCTTTGATGTGGAGGCTGAAGTATGAGCAGGAGCGCTATCCTGCTGGAGAATTGTCCCTCTCCTGTGGTTTGTAATGTAATGGGCAGCACAAATGTCTTGATACCTCAGGCTGTTGATGTTGATCATCCACTCTGCAGATCTCTCGCACGCCCCCATACTGAATGTAGACCCCAAACCATGATGTCTCCTTCACCAAACTTGACTGATTTCTCTGAGAATCTTGGTGCATGCTGGTTCCAGTAGGTCTTCTGCAGTATTGGTGATGATTGATGCAGATTCAGCAGATGATTCAGCAGAGAAATCCACCTTCAACACTTTTACACATCAACTAGAAGTCGAGTTATTATTTGCTGCTCCTACAACTGGGATCCACGACAAGACTGTCAGGTAGTGTAGACAGACAAACTCAGTCTCACGCATAGAAACACACAAACAAACAAACAAACAAACACACACACACACACACACGCACGCACGCGCGCGCGCGCACGCACGCACGCACGCACGCACGCACGCACGTGCACACACACACACACACACACACACACACACACACACACACACACACACACACACACACACACACACACACACACACACACACACACACACACACACACACACACACTTCAGCACAACACTACCTACCTGAAGTAGAAGTTACTGGACAGATCCACATTCTGGAATATTCTCACGTATCTGTGCACAAACAAACACATTCAGCATTCACTTTCTTTTCAGCTTAGTCCATTTATTCATCAGCAGATGCCACAGTGGAATGAACCGCCAACTTACACATCATATCATCATCTTAGAATTATAAGGTGCTATATTATAAAATGTAGTTATTGACAAATTATTATTAAATGACAACTTATTTACATTATGGGATGTTTTTTATAAGTTGTTTACATTAAGACTTTATTTAAAACACAAATGCTACACACACACATGTTGTTTGCTATGGAATGCAAAAACTTTAAAGCTCGATATCTCAAAATCATTCAGAACGCAGAGAGAACCTTATAATTCCAAGGTGACGATATGTTTAACACAGCGGATGCCCTTCCAGCTGCAAACCATTACTGGGAAACACCCATACACACACACTCATACACTACGGCCAATTTAGTTCATCAGTTCAGCTATAGCGCATGTGTTTGGACTGTGGGGGAAACCGGAGCACCCGGAGGAAACCTAACATGAGGAGAACATGCAAACTCCACACAGAAACGCCAACTGACCCAGCTGGGACTCGAACCAGCACCCTTCTTGCTGTGAGGCGACAGTGCTAACCGCTGAGCCACCGTGCCACCACCTAATAAAATGTATTTATTCATATGCCAAAGTAGTTCTTCCAGGTTACAGTGTTAAAAACCTATTTTTGTTTAATAAAACAACAGAAAAGCTTCAAACTCCAGGTGTCAGTGGGTGAAGTTAAAGGAAAAGTGCTGTTACTGCACACAGAGACGTAATGGCCGTCTCACGTTACGAGTGAACAATAACAGGCTGTACTGCAGACAGAACTAGGTGTTACTGTAAATATATCAGCAGTGACGAATAACAGACTTCACACACACACACACACACGCACACACACACGCACACACACACACACACACACACACACACACACACACACACACACACACACACACACACACACACACACACACACACACACACACACACACACACACACACACACACACACACACACACACACACACACACACGAAAACAGAGATGTGTCAAATGGATCTCTAGAGCAAAGTGACCGACACAGCGGGACAGACACGTGTGCGAGGACACACACACAAAACATGTACACACAGTCTGAAACCAGCACACTGACTATTCCTACACTGCAAAAGAACACTGTTATTTTTGTGCATACAGTGTTGGTCTTCACCTAATGCAGTGCACTCAATCTGACCTTCCTGATTGATTACTGATTATTCTGACTAGGAAAAGAGAAGATATGAGTACAGAAATGTTATAATAACTGTATATACCAGGGGTTTTCAAACTGTGGTGCAGCTATATTTACATTGTTGTGAATCAAAGCCAGTACGACTGACGGCAATAACTCAAAAACCTCTTACCCTAAAAAGATCTAAAGTGCATTTCCTACAAAAAGACAAAGCTGGTTATGTCTCACAGCTGTCTTTTTCTTTGTTTCGCTCGACATTACGACCACTGCTCTGTTTGAGTTCTAGCAATCTGCGTTTAGCCAGAAGAGCTCGCGCTGAGAGGAGCTCTCAGTAAGGGACCGTCGGAAAAGTGCTTATTTATTTATTTATTTTATTTATTTATTTTTTTTGATCTTGCGTGTTTTATTTTAAATACACTACTAATTTTCTCTTAAATAAGCATAAACAGTTATTAAAGTGGTCGAATGCTTCATTATAGATCTGTGCATTCTTACATGAACACCTCGGTTATCAAACAAAACACAATGAGAGATTCATTTGCTGCTCTTCACTAAATAACTATAGTAACTTTAATCAATATGCAAATACAATCAAAAGTGAAGTAGGCTGCTAAAACAGAAACAAAACTGAAGCCCTTCTCATCGGCACTAAAAGTGTTTTGGATAAAGCTGATAATTTCACAATAGACATTGATAACAGTACAATTTTTCCCTCCATGCAGGTAAAGAGTTTGGGTGTCATCTTGGATAGCACACTCTCATTTGAAGGTCACGTTAATAATATTACACGTACAGCATATTTCCACCTGCGTAATATCACTCGTCTCCGCCCTTCTCTCACAACCAATAACACAGCCATTCTCATCCACGCATTAGTTACTTCATGTCTAGACTACTGTAATGCACTTCTTTCTGGACTTCCTTCCAAACTTCACCATAAACTCCAACTGGCTCAGAGCCATGCAGCTCGTGTCATCTCTAGGACCCCATCTCACGAGCATGTCACACCACTCCTCTATCAGCCTCAAGTATCAAATTGATTTTAAAATATTACTTCTAACTTTCAGGGCACTTCATAATCTCGCTCCTCAATATCTCACTGAACTTCTCCATATCTACACCCCTTCTCGTACCCAGCCAACAACTTCACCCTGGCACCACCTCACACTCGATTGAGCACAATGGGAGACAGATCTTTTAGCTCTATGGCTCCTCGGCTATGGAACTCACTTCCAGTAGATCTTAGGAGCAGTGATAGTCTTCACAATTTTAAATCACGTCTAAAGACCCATCTTTTTAAGCAGGCTTTTACCTAACAATTTTTTTGATCATGTTTTTATTATGTTCTTTTATATTCACTATTGCGTTGTAACTTGTTTGGTCAATGATTGCTTTTAGTAATGTTTAATTTGTTTAGCATGTCTGCTGATGCTTATTGTAAGGCGACCTTGGGTGTCTAGAAAGGCGCCATTTACAAATAAAATGAATTATTATTATTATTAGTAGTAGATTTTATAGCTTTATTTAATTTCTGGATAGGCCATTGATTTTAATAGGCTAAACCTTTTATTTTATTGTCAATATTTTCTAATGTTTACTATGTATTCTGTCATTTGAAGTTATTTGTTGTCCCATATTTTTTTTTACATCCCAACGTTGACAGATTGCTAATCAATAAATAGCTATAATGCTATCTGTTAGTTTTAACGTCAGCTAATGTTATGGAAGGGCATAGATGTTATGGAAAATAGTAATAGTAATGTAACTACCCCCATCATTCCTTCCTCAAGCAAATGTGTAAATGTTAGATCTATTCAGCGATAATGTTAATTGCATTGGCATATTTATCTGACGTTTTCTCAGCCGATCAAAAAGCTGTTTAGTTTCTTATGACTTTACACTAGCTGTGGAATTTACTGCGATGTGAAGGGGCTTGATCAAAATCCAGGGGCTTGATCAAAGGTTGATCATATTCTCTTCTGAAAACAGAAGAGTATCTTTTTCAACAAAAAATTGATCAGAGTTACAGCCAGCATCCCTCAAAAAGCACTTCGAGCCTCATTTTGTGCATATCAAATCGCAAAATCTAAAAAGCAGCACACCATATATTTTTGACTGCTTTGAATGGAAACATTTTTTTTTTACCCATTTTTCCATAATAAAATATTATGGTGGGTCTGGAGATTAAATTACTTGCCTAGTTGGGTCCCGGAATAAAAAAAGTTTGGGAATCCCTGGTATATACAGTACAGTTGAAGACAAAATCCTTCGCCCTCCTGTGATTTTTTCTCAAATATTTCCCAAATGATGTTGAACAGATTCAGGAGTTTTTTCACAGTATTTCCTCTAATATTAGTTCTTCTGGAGAAAGTCTTGTTTGTTTTATTTCAGCTAGAATAAAAGCAGTTTTTATTTTTTTAAACCCATTTTAAGGTCAATATTATTCGCCCCCTTAAGCAATATTAGTTTTGGATTGTCTCCAGAACAAACCACTGTTATACAATGACTTGCCTAATTACCCTAACTTTACCCTAATTACCCTAGTTAAGCCTTTAAATGTCACTTTAAGCTGAATACTGTATAATAATGGCTTAATGATACAGGCCTCAGCAGTATAAAACACTAAAAACAGTTATAATAATAATAATAATAATAATAATAATAATAATAATAATAATAATAATAATAACTGCATTATGAACATCTCACCGGGCCTCATCTGGGTGTGTGACTCTCACAGAATCATTGGGAATGTAGATCATATTCGTGTCTTCAATCTTATAAATCGAGTGTCCGCCGATGTCAGCCATTTTTCTGCGTTTTGTGATCAACACGATGTAGTAACCCTCCAGAAACCGCACAAAACCTGAAAAAAAAAGACACAAGAGAAAAAGAGTTCATCGCACTGCGTTTGTTTACAACTCACAATAAGATCTCATTAGTAGACTGCATTACGTTTGCTAAATTTGGCACAATATCATATTTATGATGAGAGAAAGCATATTAAAGTAAATAAAAACAATGACTTATTTACATGCAAACACTTCTCAGTCAATAAAAGGAGCAGTCGTAAATATACAAACCTTCTTTAAACATTTGTTTTTAATTTATGCATTTAAATAATAAATAACATGTATGCATTATTTATAGATACACATATATTGTTATTATTATTTATGCATTTTAATAAAAAAATATGCATTGTTTGTACATAAAAATATATTATTCAATTATACATAAAACTGAGCGCTTCACTAGTGAGAAAACAGAGCATCTGCAGCGTAAGGATAAAGAACGAGCCTCCTCCATTCAGCCTCTTTACTTTATTTCTACTCTTTCCTCCTTTTCTTTGGTGGAGTGAGGAAACGGTGGACACTCACTCCACTGAACACATCCATCAGCCCACATATTTAATTTCCTTTGTTAAGAGCAAAGATTTGTGTCTAAACTATTTCTAAATTCAGTTCTGATCTACAGCAAAGGAATAAATGAACAATAATAATGAAGTGTGGTCAGAAAACTGAGTTATATCCAAACACACGTCCTGTTCTTATCCAAATATGCTGATGCAGATGTAACGAAGTTATATTTTTCATTGTGAATCCTCCTGAATAATGCAGCAGTTATGTGTTTTATAGAGTAAGGGCGCCCTCATGTGGTTTGTTTGGGTAACGCAGACATACAAGTTAGGCAGGAAGTGACCTAGCGCAGCAGATGCTGTGAGACAGCCATGCTGTGGGTAGGTGTTTTTCATGCTCCGTCTTAGTTTATTAATATTAGCTTAAGAAAGTAGCGATTTCAAACATTAAGTTTATAATTCGGTTATATTATCATTAAGCATTAAGTTTGACTTGTGACATGTAGTTTTTGTAAGTTAAATGCCTTTTTATAAATGTCTACTGGATTGTGCTCTTTAGCAAGGCCATGCGGTTGATTTGATTTTCTATTTCAGTGGTTCTCAAACTGTGGTACGTGTACCACTAGTGGTACACAGGCTTCCTTTAGTGGTACGCGAAGGAATGAAATATGTCATGTACATGCTACACACATTTAAAAAAATTTCAAAAATGATGGATATAATATGCTACATATGACATTTAGCCTATATTTCTGAAGTAATCTGCCACGTTTTTTGAACTGTGCAGAGTTGTAGCTGCTTTATTGGGCCCACTGCCCTACTGTATTTCAATACTGCTCACTTTGGTAGTACTTGGAGAGACAATTTTTTTCTGAGGTGGTACTTGAAGAAAAAAGTTTGAGAACCACTGTTCTATTTTATTTAGATGTTGTATGTCTGCAGCAAGCAATCCACTAAAAAGGGCTGTACTGTTTATTATTTCAGGTATGTCAATGTTCATTTGTTAATTGTGAATGTTACGTTTTATGCAAAATGTTCATATGATATTTATTCATATGTGGATATTAATGATGCAACAAAGCAGATGCTGTGAGACAGCCATGCTGTGGATGCTGTATGTCTGCAGCAAGCAATCCACTAAAAAGGGGCTGTACTGTTTATTATTTCAGTATTTCAGTAAAAAGGAGTAATCAAATACTGTGTCCGGGCCTTCATTAAAGAGTATTGCACACAACGCAGAGGAAGAAGAGTTGAAGGACCGGAGACATCACACAGACGTCTCCAAAACCCCACAGCTGAACAAATCTACACTTTTGTTTATTGAAGCAAATATAAATCTGCATAAAATGAACAACACTGCTAATAATAATCACATTATACTGATGCAGATCATCATGAATAAACTGAAAAAGCCCCCTGAGGTGAAGAAGGCATGGAGGCAGTGCTGTTTATATTGATGTAGAAAACTGTGTTCATCTGTAAAGATATTTGTGTGTTGCTGATCATCCTGTGTGTATTCAGCAGTGTGTAAGCGTTTGGATTTGCATAGGTGCATAACTAACACGCTCTGCTGGACTTTAGAGCAGATTTTAGTTGGTCAATGGCACCGTTTATTTCAGTTCCTCAACATAGCAACACTCCAACAATGCGCCTTAACACACCTCCTTTATAGACCAGCACACACATGAGTCAACAGAGCGGCGCAAATGGATTTTCTATCTTAACAATGTGGTGCAACATATGAAAATTAGGGTTGCGCTGGTCTGAAAATAGCAACAAATCACGCTAAATGATAAGGCTTCTAGTGTTAATATCACTCTATATGTGTCTTACTCCTATCAGTGTAACGTTTATTTTTACACAGTTCTATGGTGTCTGTATAACATTATCAAAACCTACAATCAAAAGTCTTGAGAAAGATGTAAAAACAAAACAGTTTGAGAATAGTCAAATTGCAGAGAAATCTAAAAAGGCATAAAACAAACTCATTAACATTTCAGAGACATGAATAAGAGACAGCTATATCTGAAAAATAACTCTCAGACGTGTATGACATCTGAACATGAAATGTTGTGTAGTAAGATAGTTCAGTGACAGAAAACACTTTAAGATGCCACAACCATATCACCCTGCAGCCCAAGAGTGATTACTAATAATCCCATGGCACTTCTCATAGAGTAGAGCTGTAACCCAAGGGTTCTGCCCAAATTCCCTCCATTAAACTCATATCCACTATGGCCTTCCGATCATCTCCATCCACTGAAGTGGCTCTTATCACTGTCGCTTTACTCCCCCTATAGCTGGTCTGTAGTAAGTGCACTGGCGACGTTGTCCTGTTTAGAAAGCTGTTTTTGTGAAAGCTTTAATGAAACTATTCATTATTTATTTTGGTCTTGCCAATATACTCGACTACTTTGGATCAATGTTAAGGCTTTTATTGCTCATGAAATCTTAAAAACCTTTTTCTTACCTTATAAACATGTGATTTTGGGTTTTTAGGTTAAGGATCGCTCTTTAAAAAGATGCTGGTTTTATTATAAATTTGATTTTATTATTATGTAAATTTCCCATACATAAATCCAAGTTTTCCAAAAGCAAACCTCTCTTCATGGTGTTAGAAAAAGAGATTCAAATGTTTACAAAAGGGATTTCCAAGTCTCAAAATAGAAAAGCAATTAAAACAATTAATATATGCTCCTCCTTTAACATTTTTATATAAAATGTTTGTATATATGCATTTCTTTATTGCTCTTTATGCATTTCTGTATATACTAACTCTTGTTAATAACTAAAATTGAAAAATGTGCAAAACATATTTGTATGTAATTTGATAATTATGTACCCTCTCCTCTGTTTTTTTTCTTCTTTCTCTTCTCCTTTACTTTTTTTTCACTTATTTCATTCTTGTTAAGAAATGTAAAGTGATTGTATTGTATTGTATAAGAACTGCTGGTTCTTGTTAATAAAAAAAAATAATAATAATAAAATAAAAAAATCATCCAAGTTTAATTTAAATGTAAACTCTAATAAATGTAAACACAAGCATTTAATTTAAAATGTATGTCTTATTTAAAAATAAAATATATTATTATTATTATTATTATTATTATTGATATTATTATTATTACTTATGCATTTAAATAAAAATGTATGCCTTGTTTATACATAAAATATATTGTTATTATAACTATTATCATTGATATTATTATTATGCATGCATTTAGATAAAAATGTTTGCCTTATTTATGCATAAAATATATTATAGCTTGAAGGAGCTAATAATTTTGACCTTAAATGGTGTTTAAAAATGTATAACTGCTTTTATTCTAACCGAAATAAAACAAATAAGACTTTCTACAGAAGAAAAAATATTATCAGAAATACTGTGAAAATTTCCTTGCTGTGTTAAACATAATTTGAGAAATATTTAAAAAAAAGAAAAAAAATGGGAGGGGGGGCTAATAATTCTGACTTCAACTGTATATCTTTACTGTAAAATCCAGTATTTTTCACATTACACCACTGAAATACAGTAACCTACTGCATAACCGTCCTACAGTAAAATACAGCTCATATTACTGCTAAATGCTGTGTCATTTACAAATATCGTTAACAGCGCAGGGATGAAGATGATTTTACAAATAATAGAGGATTGACAGTAAACAGCTCTTTATTTTTCCTTTAAATGGCTTCTGCACCATTTACTCCAGATTTTTATTCCATCCTAAATAACTGTGTCAGTAAACAGCTCAGGTCATTATTTGGATGTCGTTCAGCTTTAAAATGCATTGAGAGGGTTGAAGATGAGCGCATCAGTGTAATGATGAGACGTGAGGGTGTAATGAAGCGCTGACACATAAAACACATCCATCAGGTGTGCTACAAACAAACACACACACACACACACATCTCCACTTGTGTTTGCGCCCCACATTCTCACGTATCGAGGGGAAGGGCATTATAGTGTATAAAGGTTGCATAAGACACATTTCCGATGACTAACGATAGTCACACTGAGGTTTCTCCAGATGTGTGTCAGCAGAAGTAGGTCACGACCCGCTGTTTGGCTGATCATGTGAGCAAACGCTGATTCGGACCCGCTGCTCAGATGATCAACTTCACAAAGACGGTTGTGTTTTTACTTACTGGGTACAGTGGTGGAAATAAGTGTTGAGCACGTCACCATTTTTCTCAGAAAACATTTTTGTAAAGGTGCCGTTGATTCGAAATTTTCACCGGATGTAGGCAACAGCAAAATAGATCTGTATATGCAAAGAAAACAAATCTAATTTGTTTACAAATTAAGTCATGTGTAATAAAATGAAATGACACTGTGGAAAAGTACTGAACACATGAAGAAAGGGGGGTGTATTCCAGCAGTGAAAGCCCAGACAGCAGCTGAAATCTCTCAGTAGTTCTTCAGCAAGCCTCTGCCCTTCCTCAAATGAATATCAGCTGCTTCAGTCCAACATCTACATTAGCAGGAGGGTGAAGATGAAACCAGGGTG